TTAGTGCCTTTTATTCTTCTTTTTTAAGCAAAGATGAAACAAAACAGTAGGATTGCATAATTCTCTTCCTCCTGCTGCAAACAGAACTTTTGGCACAAAGCCCTTCATCTAAATGCAAAAAGAAAAAAAAGTTGTCTGGTCTGTTTAATATGGATTTTTGAATGAAATGTCGTCCAATTTATGCAGATGTTCTTGCCAATGCTTCTCAGCTGTCTTGTATAACATTTCATTAAAGTGGATGGCTGGTAGCACACTGTGTTTATTAATAAGGTCTATATTTGTCCAGATTCAAATGTCGCTCCCTGAATCCAAGCATCGCCAAAATGGAAAAATGTGGGATAGCGTGACTGGTGCGGTAACCGGAGTCGGTGGAGGGATACGATCCCACAGTCAAAGTGCTGTTTAAAAGCCTCACGCTGACACTGCGGTCTGCTCTATGTTTAGTGCTGACAGCTCCTCCAGTAGGAAGCAGCCTACTACTGGTAGTAACAGAGGAAAGCAGCGGCCTGACAGCAGCCAGCGGAGGTTTGATGTGTCAGTCTGGAGATCAGTGAACTCCCGTCTGCTCCATGTTCAGCAGCTATCGAATGGACAACATACACCCAAACATAGCATCACACACAGCAGGAGGGCTTGCTTTGGGTTTATCGTCTTCTTAGAGCCATCTGTCGGCAGCTGACCGAAATAAGTCTTTATATCTGCCCAGTGAAGGATCGTTATGTGTCTGTCCATCCATCCATCCGTTCATCCGTCCGTCCGTCCGTCCGTCCGTCCGTCCGTCTGTCCATCCATTCATCCGTCCATTCATCCGTCCATTCATCCGTCCATTCATCCATCCATCCATCCATCCATCCATCCATCCATCCATCCCTCCGTCCGTCCGTCCGTCCGTTTATTGTGTATTAAACCAGTGAGTGGAGGCTTTTGACTATTTCCTATGCTCATGACACAAACTGACCTTTTCTCAGTATCTCAGTTTTATTTTATTTTCTACCAGGAACTTATAGATTTTTAGTCTGGCAGTACACCAGAACCTTGGTCTGCTTTAATGCATTGTGTCAGGCTTGTGTGTGGTGCTCAGTGCCGAGGGTTTAAAAAAAATCTTTTAACGTTCTACAATAGCCAAAACTCACCCCATCCATAGGCGATTTGAGGGGGTGCTGTCCCCCTTGTTACCCTGCCATACACCCCTGTCCATCCTGTAGCAGCAGAGAGAGTGCAGGGGCAGATGGGTAGTTCTGTGAATATGTTGGTCTAGCCTGCCTGACTCATCGATCCTTTATCCAGAGTCGACAACCCTCTTGGTACGAGACACCTGACTCACACTCTGACACCACACAAGAAGAGGCCTCAACGCCCTTTTTCATGAGTTATATATGTTAAACAGACTTTCTTACAAAGTCTAAACCATAATCTTTCCATAAAACTATTCCTCAGGCTGCTTATGATCTTATTAGAATAGCAGCTTTGACAACTGTCAGTTGTGGAGAATCAGAAAAACGAAAAATGAAAACAGAACCTCCTCCTCTGACAGACACGACTGTGGAAATCCACACCAACACATTTCCACGTCCATCACGATCGGCAGTTGGTGGCATCTTTAAAAACACTAAGAAAACACCTCTCCAACATCACAAAGTCATTACTTCTGTACATGTGGCTTCATTCACTTCACTGTTCAAGTTCACTTTTATTACAAACTGACTTAACCAGTCATCCATCCATCCATCCATCCGCCCTTCAGAGGAAGCCTCTCGCGAAGGAGCAGCTCCTCACCCTATCTCTAAGGCTGAGCCCAGCCACCCTGTGGAGGAAGCTCATTTCAGCCACTTTAATCAATCATCTATTATAAATGTAATTTGGATTAACAAAATGATAACAAGGACTGCAGTTGAGTTTGATTTTATAAAACACCTGTTGCATGACCCTGCAGGCGGATGAGTGTCTCCAGAGGGATTGTGTTCATTTAGCCACATGGTGCGACAGTGGTAGCTTCGTTTACGGGCGTACTTTGAGGTTAAATTATCTCCCACATGAGGAACAGACCACAATCTGATGGCAAGCAGTACTTTTTGTGTCACATTTATGGTCCCTGAGAACTTCCACATGTGGGGATGTTGTTTACCTCTAAGTCTGATCTTTGTACTCACGTCTACTGAAGTGTGAATGGACGCATTTTCAAAAGTATATATATATATATATCTGGCCTCTCTGTACAAGTCCTAATCCACAATCTCCTGTGTGTGAATGTCCCTTTGTCAGAGTTTTCCTCCCGTGTGTCACTTCTTTTGAGAACATTTGGTTCTAAGCTGCATGCATAGACAGAACACTCATCCCCACGACCCGCCCAGCCGCTCACTGAGGTGCAGTAATTGGCTGTGATGTGAGCAGTCAGAACAAGCTGCTGGCGTCACACATAAAAGTCTTTTCCTGTGTTCCTGAGCCACTTTCACAGCCACGGATTAAGTGTTGTCCCCGGCTAACAAGATTTGTAGTAAAGTATTAAAATCCACGTCTGTATAACCAGAGCTGTGTGTGTGTGTGTGTGTGTGTGTGTGTGTGTGTGTGTGTGACCCTTTCATGTGGTTGTCATGAAGAGTAAAAGCCGTAAAACCCACTCAGTGTGAAACTGTGGATCAAACAGCAGCGTGATGTAATCTAATGTCACTGCCATGTCCTGTGTGTCGCAGTGAGAACGGAGTGGAGGATGAGGAGGATCTCTATGACTGCGTGTACGATGATGAAGACGGCGGAGAGATCTACGAGGATCTGATGAAGACAGAAGCCATCCCTCCTCCGGTCAGTTCTGACACATGTGTGGACCCGGAGTAGCACAACCACAGATTAAAGAAACCCCGTTCTTTTCTTTCTTTTTTTAAAAATTATTTTGAATTTTATTTATTTATTTATTTTTTGAATGTTGCTTTAAAACCAAACCAAACCAAAAATAAAATAAAAAAATAAAAAAAATAAAGATAAATAAATACAGAAATGAAAAATAATAAAAATAATAATTATTATTTTATTTATTTGTCTTTATATTTCTACTTTATCAGCCTTTTCTTTTATGGATTCATTTTGATTAATATTGCTTTATATTGCCACATCATTTATTTATTCTTTTATTTATTTATTCTTTTATTTATTCTTCTTTTTATTTCCACTTTTATTTTATTATTCTTTTATTGATTTATTTTTGTAATTTGACGCTCTCACTACTCCATACATATTAACCTAACTAAATTAAACGCTAAGGTTTAGCAGCGATGTTAAATAATTGCTTTAACAAACTACTTGACTCGTTTAAAAATAAGGTTTAGACCATGCAACAGATTGAGACCTGTCCAAAAAACAAAGGTTCCCATTGAGCGAAGCGTATCGGCAACAACAGAGAGGAAAAACTCCCGTTTAACAGAGAACAAACCAGAGCTCATAAACACTGGACACATTGGTGAGACCAATCTGTGTGCCTTTGCAAATAGTTCAGATTAAATGATTATATTTGTCACGGTGATGGCTGTCTCCTGCTATGTGTCCTCCTGTGTTCGTTGCAGTAGTTTTAACACATTCAGGATGTTATTGTCTGTTTATACCTGCAGAGCTAATTTTGCAGTTTTGTTCCTTAGATTTTTGCCTCCATCGTTAACACTTTGTTCAGTGAAAAAACAAAACAACCATGTTCTCTCATAATTGGCAGACAGTTTAGCGAGCATGTGCGGCGATCTGACCTTGCTCAAAGCGTTGGATCGACTACATCTGGTCGAGGACTCGACGGTTTGTCAGCACAGAGCTGACACACAGTAACGGGTCTGTGTGTGTGTGTGTGTGTGTGTGTGTGTGTGTGTGTGCAGGCGTTCCAGAAGCAGGCGGAGATTGACATCAGGAGCTGCTGCTTAACAGAGATCAAGCAGACAGAGGAGAAATACACCGAGACCCTGGAGTCCATAGAGAAGGTAACAGATGGTTGTCGCTGTGAAGACGTCATCCTGATGCTGCATCATGTCCTTATGTCAACAATGTACAGAGCTCAGGTCGTGCATGATGCGGGTATTGTTCAGAATTATATCTACAAGCAGTTGATTGACATTACGTAGATCTGCAGTCCTTAAAACAATGCGTTGACTTTTTGTGATCGTGCATCACAAGATAATCAAACTGGGTCGACCACATGCGTCGTATAGAAGTGTGAAACTCTAGTAAATAGAAGCAGTAATGTGTATGTAATTATAAAACCTGCTTTCCTGTCAGATAACATGAATAACACATACCACCATGGATACTTCCAGAACGTGCACATCAGGGGTCGACTGCATTTGCAGGACAGACGTGATTATTAATCGAGATCACTGATAATTGGAATCGATGTACTTTTGCAGTAAAAATTCAAATCTTGGTTTCAAAATCTAAAAAAAAAACACAAACTCCTGCTGAAAACTTCTCTCAGGTGCCAGTGTTCCTCTGTGTTTTTACATGTTTTTAGTTAAGTCACTTTATTGTCAGATCTGCTGCACGTGTTCACATACAGAGAACTGAAAATGTGTTTCTGTCAAACCTTTATTTATAAAAACAAAAGCGCACAGTTGAAAAATAAACATGCTAAAAAATAGAAAAAGCTAAAAATATATAGTCTAGACAAAAAATAAGCTACAACATATACAATCTAAACATTCAATAGGCTAAAAAAAATCTACAATCTAAACCTATAATAAGCTAAAAATATATATATTCTCATGAACACTGCGTCTGAGTTTCTTTAAATTTGGTCCAAACACAGACTCCAGGTTGAACTGATTACATTCAGGTGGTGAAAGGTTAAAGCCGCCGTGACCTCCAGGAAATTACATCACAAAAAAACTCATAAGAATTTACTTGTCAAAGGTCCCTGTGGCCTCACAAAGCAATAATAATAACAAGAACTGCTAATTATAACCAAACTCTACACAACGTTTTAATGGGTTACAGTAATGAAGTCAAATCTTAAAGGTCGAGACTGAACCAACATGGATGAAAACTCATTAGCAGAGGCTCAGAACCGGGTTTCTGGTTGATGTCAGTTTGCCTGATAGACCTCGATATGTGCAGGCTGATGGCTGGAGCTAATTTCAGTTTCAGAAGTAATGTAAATCAGTACGACTAATGAAAACCATTAGTCCACTGGTTCGGTAGCATTAGGTGTCAGCTAGTCGACCTGTCGTGTCCTCTGTCTGTGGGTCCAGACACGATGCCGTTAATGTACAGTCATGACTCGATAATCCGACACTAAATATAAAACCTTCTTTTATGTCAGATAGCAAGGCTGTCGGATTGTCAAGACGGAGGTCCAGATACGAGGAGGACTTGATGTTGGAAGGCTCATTTGTTGTTATAATAACTAGTGTATTGTTAGAACGCTACGCATCGCTGGACCGGTGCGCTTGTACATGTTCTGGACACTTCCACCCCGGGGCAGCGCTCTGACGGGGTGGAAGTGTCCAGAACACACAGGCAGTACTTGGCTGCTGATGCTAGTTTAGTTAGCGCTCACACTTCTGTTTCCTCCATCGGTGGCGGCGGGGGAGTGGCAGATACGCTCCACCGTTACCATCCATGTTTACTTCCGTAAACACTGAGCACGCTCGCTGCGTGTGACGTCGTCGTGTCCTCTTCTGCGCATGCGGGACACTTTTGGCTCGTATGAAGTTCACACAGCAGATCACATACAAGTCGCATTGAAGTGGAAACGTGAAGGAAGTCACAAAGAAATCCTCATTGAGCATCAAGTCCTGCAGTGTGAACGTAGCCAATCTGTGGGATTGTTCAGTCAGATAATACGCCGTCATCCTGATTGGTGACATTAAATGTCATGTCGGAGTCACAATCCAAGGCTGTCGCTATGTTAAGGCTGTTTTTATGGGTTCTGTTGGTTTTTCCTAAAAACCTGTCGGATAGCAGGTTTAGGATTGTTAAGGGTCGATTACTGAGTCACATTACTTTAACAGTTATCAGCCACAGTTTGTTTTTGTTAATATTTTACACTTATATTGTAAGAAACTACCTAAAGTACACGAGTAAAAAAGGTCGACTACAGAGGAACTCGCTGGTCTTAGTCAACTATTACCACTAGCTGTCCTAACCCTGATTAAAATGTTTTTTTCCCCTAAATATTTAAAAGAAATACAGTCATTCTTTGTTCTCTGTTGATGTGAAACCCCCATTAGAACAAAAAAAGCAAAAGAGAGTGAACTTTCTTTAGGTGAAAACGGTCCCAACCTGATTTGATTTTTATAAAAACATGACAAAGCACTGAATCAATTTAGCCTCGTTATCGCCTATAATGTGAGAAAATGACCAGTTCGGGGGTATAATGGAAAAAATAATGAGCAGTGTAACAATCTGTAGAGAGAACCGAGTGAAAGTTTTTATTCCTGATATGAGCAGCGGGTAAATCCCAGCACTCCTCACAACAAACTGCCCTGAAAGGACCACAAAACTCTGAGAGAAGCCCTTTGCTGCCGGAGTTTTCCACCTTAGGCTGCACTTTCACAGGACCGTGGGAGGCCTCGCCGCCTCGTGCTCTCCAGCCACGGCTACTTGTCTTCTCCCTCTCGTGTGCGCTCACGTCTGCGAATAGACCTCGCCTGATTTCCCAGCGGAGTGTCTCACTAGATGACTTTCGATATGAAGTGGATGGTGGAATTTAGTTTGCGCTCGCCGCCCGCTCCTCCGAGATGTAGAGGTGACTATGCGGTGGGAGTTTTCTGAGAGGAAATCATTAAATTGCAAACTCTGAAAATGAGATTATTGTCGTGACCCAGACAGTCCTCCTTGTTTCTGCTGACTGCGGCTCTTTGCAGCTCGGCCCCATAATATAATAGCGTCTCACGCAGAATGACTTTCCCACTCCGACTCCAGAGGAACGAGTTTCATTCCCCTGCATCCTCTCTGACTGTCTGTCTGTCTGTCTGTCTGTCTGTCTGTCTCTCCTGCAGCACTTTATGACGCCCCTCACCATGTTTTTTACCGCGGCCGAGATGGAGAAGGTGTTTGTGAATATCCCGGTAAGTCATCGCGTTGAACTGAGGTCAGCTTTGGGTCACAAAATCCAGCTCATACCAAGAGGAGCACAGGCGTGAATAATGACAAAGTTGATTAAGTGTTCACACAGCTTTAAATACATATTAAAGTCAGTAAAATGATCAGCACAACACTATTACATTTCAGCCATTTTAGGCTTCCTGGCTCCACAAGCACTGCAGCTAAATGCTAACATGATGCTAACATGCTAATTGTTAGCAAGCAGGATGAGATTTTCTGTATTTTGTCTTAGTTTTGTGTGCTAATATACCATTTGCTATAACATTTGCTAATTAGCACACTGTTTTTTTCTACATGTCACACTAGATGTGAATAATAAAAAAAGGTGATAGCTTAAGTTTAGACTAACGAAGAACTAGCTTAATTTGACAAATTAAAACACAAGTGTTCACACAGCTTTAAATATAAATTAAATTCAGTGAAATTATGAACACAACATTAGGTTATTATAATATTTCAGCCATTTTAGGCTTCTTGGCTGTAGCTAAATGCTAACATGATGCTAACATGCTAATTGTTAGCAAGCAGGATGAGATGTACTTTATTATGGAACTCATAGATATATGTGCTATACAGCTTTAAATACATAATAAATGCTGTGATATAAATAACTAACACGACAGAGTATAAGCTCACGATTAATATGGCTGTCCAAAAGCACAACAGTGTTTTTAGCTAAATGCTAACATCCCTATGCTAACACACGCACAATGACGGTGATTAAATGCTGACCAATTTTTTAGCAAGAAGGACGATATTTTCCACGGTTAGTGTTAGTTAACTGTGTTTTAACATGCTAACATTTTCAAATTAACACTAAACACAAAGTACAACGAAAGCTCATGGACCCGTCATTAGTTTTCTGGTTAGACCTAGCATTAGCTTAGCTTTGAAAACAGCCAAACTGTCTGTAATAGGGAGTAGCTACAAGTTAATGTTGAAAAATAGCTGCAGATTAAATTCCAAATGACCTATGCTGGCATTAAAATAAAAAAAATAAAAAAAAACCACAAGTTAAACTGAGATGATCGTATCAGTTTTGGTGGACTGTTGGCAAAACACAACATTTGACGGCACTGACTCGGACTTTTTAAAAATATTTTCTTGCACAGCGTTGACGGTTGTTTGCTGTTTCAGGATCTGGTTAAAGTTCACAAGTGTTTACTGCTGGAAATCCACGACTCGATCCACCACAGAAGTGCCCAGAACCTTTACAAGATCTTCATCACGTTCAAAGAGAGGTACACGATGAGCTCTGTAACATTTCTGCATGTCGTCTAGTGTTCACACATGTCTGTAACATGTTTGTAAAGCTCTCTCTGTACCTATGAGATGTCACACTGTTAGAATATCTTAAACCCAATACGTTTGCTTCTTCAGTGAAGATATGAAGCAGGTCTTAACCCAATCTCAGGTAAGGTTTCTAGAAAAGTGTGGGCACCTAATTCCTCTCTCCAGCCTCCTTATTGTCTTCCATGTGTTTAATACATTTCAGGTTGTTGATCTATGGAAAGTACTGCAGCCACGTGGAGACAGCCATCGCCACTCTCGACGACATCTGCAAAAACAGAGAGGACGTGCGCATGAAGCTAGAGGTAATTTTTTAATTAAACGATCAGTGAATGGTTATTTACAGCTGCACAGACCAGCGTTGATGTCTCAGAACGGTCAGAGAATGCCCTCAAGTGTGCGCCTGAGGCATTGCAGGAGCCGTCAGTGCACATTACTGTACAGCTTCTCATCAAGCCTGCTTTCGCCGCACGTGTTTCTACAAAGCGAAAAAATGTAAAACTAAACCCCTTTTTTTTTTATTGAGAGCCAGCGGAAACACTATCCTCTGTGGGGTCCATACATAATGCATCACACTATCGATTCTCCTTCTGTGTCTTTGTACAGGAGTGTTCAAAGAGAGCCAACTATGGCAAATTCACACTGAGAGATCTGCTGGTTGTCCCGATGCAGCGGGTTTTGAAGTATCACCTCCTCCTGCAGGTACAGTACTCCCAACCTGCTTTCTTTTTTTTTGCAGCCATATCATCTTTTTTGTTGTAGCCCTCAAGTTGAGTGTTGGCGAGCCGGAGGGGGACGACTACACCCTTTGGATGCTGTCCATTGGACATAACCTGACTGATATATTATGTAGCTGAAGGTGCTGGACTTGTTTATATCTGACCATTACAATATATTTCATGGGTGCATTTTGTGACACAATACAGCATTTTGAGCGACAATCCCTAAAGATTAGACTATTTTTATGGCGCCTGCATCATTTTATTGGATCCCCAGCAGCTGTATGATTGTCAACCTGTCTTTAAAGATGTCGTACTTGGTCGGGATGAAGAACGATACCACAAATGATGCTTAAATGCACCAAACAAAGCAAGTGGATCACACTTCAGATTAGTAAAGCTTGATCGTTTCCTGGTTTAACTTTATGTTCTTAATGAAAATACGATACTCGAGTAGTTTCACCTATATTACTTTCAAAATAACAAAAACAGCCTCTTTAACTAAAAGAAAGTACAATATTTGTGTAAAACAAAGCATCACTGCTCTGGAGAGCGACTGAAACGCTGCACTTCAGGAGTGCTTTGAGGTTCAGGATCTTCACTCTGCTGGTTCATAAATATAATTACAATTAGCTGCACATTTTCCAGCTGCAGCATTAAAATACTCACAACATGTCAATGCATTATAACAACAGCAATACATGCAGAAATATAACAGAGAAGGTTTTAATTCTTGATATTTCAGGTATAATTCAGACCCAGTGTATTTTATACTGTCGTATTACTGCTAAAGAACCTCCCGCCGCTGTGCATAACCAGCTGTGTAATTAAGCTGTCCGTATTTATCCATCATGCTATATTTCCGGCCCGTATTTCACCCTGCACAGCTGTAGGATGTGTCAGCTGCTGCTAGTGTAGACGACATTGTAAATGACAGTGACTTTATAGATGACTCTTAGCGAATGACGGAGCCCCATCAGGGAGTTTTTGATTTAGCAAAGGCTCCATCACTGCCACTCAGTCTTTATGAGCAGCAGGACGTCACTGCTCCGTTCGTCCACCGGGGGCGGCGTTGACCACGTTTCGCTCTCCTCCTCCTCCTCCTCCTCCTCCTCCTCCTCCTGCTGCTGCTGCCCTCGTCCTTCAGGCTCTGAGGCTCCTCTCGTCTATTTCTGTAGCTTCTTTGTGTCTGCGAGTCGCTCATAATCTGATCGAGACAATCAAGGAGGAGGTGAGAGGAACCAGATAAAGTAAAGCAGGTCTGAAGGAGGGAGCAGCAGGCAGACCAACAACCAGAGAGACAAACAGGGAGGTGGAGGGTTTCTGTAGTGGTGAGAAAATGTGGAAAAAGTCAGTGAGAAGTTTCCTATTTCAACAATTATTAATCCATAATGTCCCTTCTTCTATGATGCCCTGTTGTGTTTTCAATATTTACATTTTTAAAATCCTGACACACGTTGTTGATCCGGTGGCAGATTTTAATTGTAAAATAGGCCAAAGACTGAATGCTTGATTTAGCTCGATCAGTGTTGTGGGCGGGTGGGGAGGTGGTGCTGCCTCCTGGTTCTGCTGCAGCACCATCCACAGCCTGTGGTCTGGCTCTTGGTTTTATTTACATGTTACATGCTAATGTTGAACCTAAACGGTCCGATGCAGAGCAGGTTCAGCTTCACGCAAACCAGCTGATTACTTAAAGTTCAAAGTGTTAATTTTGGGAACGTTTTCCTGCGAGAAGCATCCGTCTGAATTCCTTTAATCTCATCCAGGTAATTTCAATTTGTGCAGAAGTGGTACTTGGTGTAGAATTTACAATTTCAGACCAAAGAAGGAGAAAAAAAAAGTCCAAACTAAAACAAGAAAGAAAGAATTCTGTTCTGTCGTTTTCAGATTAAGAAAAAAATAAATAAAAAATCTAAATGAAAACTCATAATTAAATGAACACATCACACTTTGCACAACCGTTGATGAGCAATCATGTCTTTGGATGAAAACCATTTTATTCCATCTGTATTTGTGTGTTTGTGGGGAAATCAGTTTAAAACTACACAACCGGAAACTGGATGCAGACGACATGAGTGCATTTTCAACGCAAGGAATTTTAAATCATAAACTCTCAGATATGACTTTTCGTTGCCTCTCTTGTGAGGCCTGAGTCCAGCTAAAGTGCATTTAATAGAAGCATTACTGTGTACGGGTTAACACACCAGCATCCTCTGAGAAGACGCCACGCGTGTTGTGTCGTTTCAATCCAAATCGCTCATTTGCTCGTTTTCCTCGGGCAGAAAATTCCAAGAGGGCTCCACGGAAAGTCCCAAATTAGGCTCTGTGAAGCCCCTGAAAGCGTCTCATCTCACCCCTCTCATGTTTGCATGCAACCGAAAGTATGAAAGGCAAAAATATCCGTAGGAACAAAGTGATTCTGTTGTGTCAACACGGGCCGGGATCCCTGCGGAACGGCCGGGTAATAGCAAGCTGCACCGAATAAAGCATCCGCTGGGTTACTTTCCCACATGGTGACAGCCCGAATCTGTACAACTAATGTCTTGTCACTTCCCCTCGCTCCCCGAGTACCTCTCTTTTTTTGCTGTTTCTTTCTCTCTCTTTTTGTCATCAATCTCTCGCTCTTTCTTCCTCGCTGCCTCCGCTCATCATTCCTCTTCCTCCCTCCCCCCTGAACCTGCAGCAACACGATTCCCTCAATGAGTCCATCATGTATGGTCCCTGCTATCAGCGTGACCACTCCCTTCCCCTGTATCTCCGCGGATGTGTGGAGGTGGGAGCAAGCCTTGATAAATAGGCCTCTGTCGTCTTGCTAGTGATAATAATGCCCAGGTTGAGCTTGACTGACACCAGGGATTTGAGCAGTGCCAAGCAGACATATATATCTCCCTTAGCGGCTCAGTGTGTATACGTGTGGACACAGTGTCTGTGCGCCTCTACGAAGGACATGCATGGCATCCTTCCTTATCCTCCACTGCTGAGGTCTAGATGTCTTGTTTACGCTGCAACTCGGCGCTGGCAAGCAATTTCAGATACACACCACGCACACACACACACACACACACACACGGTATCTGATTTATTTCAGGACGGGCTTCTTTTTGCAGCAAACCTTTTTTCATTTCATATCTAGAGGCAAAGCCTTACGTTCATGTGTGGCATGTGGCGGTACTGTACGCCTGCAGGATAACGGGCGTTCATGAATATTACATGTGTCTTTATTTTATGATTGACACACAGCTTTTTCCTTCCTTTTCACACTTTCTGGATTTGTTTTTTTTGCCCAACAGGAGCTGGTGAAGCACACTCACGACGCGGCGGACAAGACCAATCTACGGATGGCGTTAGATGCCATGAAGGTTTGTCCACTTTGTTTTTTTGTCCACGGAGCAGAAAGCCCGTCACGTGAAGTTATTCATTTATGTGAAGCGCACACACGCGATTATGCGGACGACGCGATGCACATCTCTGCTGCAGGTCTCATGCTGTTCTTCAAATAAGCATTTGGTGGCAGTAACATGCCAAGAAATGCAGAAATGCACCAACAAAAAGTGTGAAAAAGAAGAGTCCAAGCTCACAAATATAGATGTAAACAGTGCAGGGTTTAAAGTACTTTATAAAAATTGTTCTTTTTTTTTTTATTTTTTATTTAGACCTCCAGGACACACAAATATATCTTGTCTTTGTTTATGGCACCTTTAACGGTAATAATAATGTCAGGGAAGCTTATTGTGGTTCCCAGAATAACATGTTATCTGTAAGAGGAAGAAAACAACCTTCTGGAGAGTGACCATAAAAAAAACTACACTTCATACATAAATTAAAGACTCTTACACTGGATGCAGTGTTTATATTTTTAAAAAACTTTTCAGTGTAATTTTGTCGAGTCAGTTTGTGTTTGTACAGCAGAACATCACACATGGAGGAAACTTCATGCAACACGCTGTGTGTGCCCAAATTAAAAGAGATGTTTCATCGTTTTCTGATGCAGGACCTGGCTCAGTACGTTAATGAAGTCAAGAGGGACAACGAGACGCTGCGAGAAATAGATCAGTATCAGAAATCCATCGAAAACCTGGTAAGTTTGGTCCGAATAATGAGTGTCGTTTCCACAAGCTGCCAGATCGCAGCCCGGCCATGTCTCTGCTCTCTCTCCTGCTGCAGAATCAGCCTCTGAGTAACTACGGGAGACCCAAAGGTGACGGGGAGGTACGGGTGGCCTCGGTGGACAAACGAGCTAAACAGGACAGGTGAGATGTCAGGTTGACGCGCCGGCTGACTAAATGACTGGAGTTGAACTAGAATCAGGCGCCGTGGCTGGAAACCTGCCAGAGTCTGCATTAGTTCAGGCCGCAAGTGTTGTGAGAAGCTAAACCTGTTGTGTGTTTTGTGCAACATAAAGTCAATGCTGGTGAATTACACGCGCGGTGCAGCTCATGTTTTTGGCATTCGGCTTGACGTCGTGCGCGATGTCCGTTAGTAAAAACGAAACTGCATTTGCAGGCTTTGTGAAGTGAATGCTGGGCTTCCACAGGAATGCACACCGCAGGTTTTTTTTTCCGTCAGACAGATATTGTATTGTTGGTCCTGCCCTTGTTCTGGAGGATTATCTTTTCCAAAACGCACGTCGCCTGACTTGATGGAGTGAGGCCTTAAAACAACAGAGTGGCTCCAGCAGCAGACGTCCAAAGTCATGCTAAAAGTCGTAGATTTGTGCATGTTAACCTTAAGATCGAGGATGCATCTCTAACAATGCAAGTTAAAATATGAAATGCAGTTTTTTCTCCAGTGATTCTGACTTCTTTGACCCACAGGCACATCTTCCTGTTCGACGCAGCCGTGATCGTCTGCAAGCGGCGAGGAGACAACTACGAAATGAAGGAAGTGATCGACCTGCACCTCTTCAAGATCACCAACAACCCCACGTCGGACAAAGAGAACAGAAAGGTTCACATGCACACCAGCGTTGTTAGAGTGCTCATGGTTTGTAAAATGTGTCTAAGCTGGGCGTCCAGCAGGTTGAATGTCATTATAGTGGTGAGTTTTTTAGCCTGACACGGAGAAGAAATCAACCGAAACACAGGTGTGATATCAGTAATGATGGGTCCATTACCATTACTGATTAGCTGGACATGGATGCTTATTGCTGTTTCAAAGAGTTCTAGGAGTGTTTCTTCTAGTTTTCAGGGCCGTGGTGTTTCCAGAGCACTGCAGAAGTCTGGCAGGTGTACGCCGGGCGATTTAATGTCAGATCTGGGAAACTGAGGGAATACATAAAAGAATCTTACAGATGTAGCACATCACAGGAATAGATCAGCGCTCGTACAGAAAAACAAAAGTCATACAGAAAATACAGCGTCGGTTCGGCGCCGAGCGGACGTGTTCGGATCCTACCGCGGAAAGTCACGGGAAATTCACTGCACTGTACAACACGGCCCGGTTTGGATCCCCCAGCACTGTGCATGAGTAGGTCTCCCAGGTGGCTTCCACCTCCAACATGTACCTGCCAAGCTACATGTTTTTCAACTTTTAGATCTGGCTCTCACCTTGGAGAAGATATTGGCACATCTCTCAGTCATTTCACCTTTTCTCTTTTTTTTTTCTGTTTTTTTGGAGGCAGCACATCTCCAGTGAACATTTCATTTTCGGTTCCAAGAGAGTAACTCGATTCCACTTTTGGCAAGGCCGCGGCGATGATGTTTTAGCTCAGACTTGTGGAAACATTAGCCTCAATTAAATCAAGCTGATGTCAGAAGCAAACAAAAGTTTTTATTTATGCCAACCTTGCCGAGTGCATCCAGCACGTTGTTCACAAAACTGTCAAGACGCATCTTCTGCTCCAAACAATGAAAACACGGGCGTTGAATTTTTAATCCAAAGAAAACAGCCGATTACAATAGTACAATAGTTAACAGCGTGATTCACACCTCCAGCATTTTTTCTTTCAAACTTTTTCTTTCAGCCTATAATAAAGGAGGCTCTGTTGTCCGAGCTGATGGGTGGAGCAACCTCCAATCCACAGCGATTCAGCTCATTAACCCACAAAGAAAATGTGTCTTTAACATTTAGCTTTCAATTTTATGGTGTGTTATCATTTTCTAAAAAGCAATAACCCACTTTAAGCCGTGATTTACGGTGATTTCATAAGAGCTGAAAGAGCTTCGGATGACATTTTATCTCACCCAGGGCTGCAGTCGCTCCTCTTAGGACGAAGCAGCGAGTTCAAGGGTTAACGTCAGTCTAATAAATAGCTTGTAAAACCGATAAAACAATAACAGAACTGGCTCATTAATGTGCTGTGAAATAAAAGGGAACAAAACAAGCGTCCCGTACAACAACCAGTCAGCTATAATGGAGGCAAGTCCTGCACTGTTGAGCCCATTATTGCCTCTTTATGACTGAGTCAGCAAAGCTCCGAAACCGCGTTGGACTCCTGACAAACCAATTAACAGCGCTACTTCTGCCTAATGAGCAGCCATAACAATTTATCAGATAAATGCGGGTTCATAAAATTGAATGAAAATTGAGTCAACTCGCTGCTTGACAGTATTTTACAAGCACCTGGAACAACCTCTCCGCCCCACCGCTGCCTCCCTGAGCCTCCGAATCCCCCCCAACGCGCTGCAAAACTTTTAAAAAATCATTCATAGCACAAACAACAAACTAATCAACAGAAAAAAAAAAGAGTCTTAAATAATTTGGTACATGCTCGTTCCAGCACATGTTTAACAAAGTCTTGTTCATTTACCAGCATCATACGGAAACAGTGTCAGACTACAACAGTCTGCCTCCTCCCAGATGGTGTTATCATTAAACCTCGCTTTGGGCCTGACTACACACATACACACAGTGAATACTAAGTGCCAAGTGGGGGAAAATATTGCCAATCATAATGAGGAATGATATCCGAGGCGTGCCAGGAAACAATGATTCGGGTAATAACGATGCTGTAAATAGCAGACATTAGTAGGCTTAGACCCATATGGGTTTGTGTGGATATGTTTTATGACGTTTGCAGCCAACTCGGCGTCGTTCACGTTTGACATGACGGATAAAGCGCAGTTTGTCTGATTGCGTGTTTAGGTTAGAGATGCAGGAAACGGCTGCACGAGGGAAACGGTAATAATCACGTTTATATGCAAGTCATCCAGAGCTAATGTTTGAGAAGCAGGAAGCTCAGTCCAGTCGCTGTCATTTGTATTGAAACCATTTTATCATGCTGGAGTCAGCGGTTTGAAGGTTTACAACAAATAACAGGTGGAAGGTGTCGCTTATACAGTCGTCCTCAGATTTATTCATTAAAGAAGGAAAAAAAAATCAGTGAAATAAGTTGAAATTTGACAAAAGTAATGATAAATAAAAATTTAATGGAAATCATGACATTGTTTTTGAATTGTGGTTCAACAGACATATATTTTTTTTAAAAAACAGTCAAACCAGCATGATGGGAGCCATGAACTAATATTTAGTTGAACAACCCTCTGAGCCAATCACTGCCTTCAGGTGTTTCCTGTAACTCTCAGTCAGACTTCTGCACCTGTTGACAGGTATTTAGATTTCACTGCTCATCAGCAAAGGGCTCTAATTTGTCCATTTTTTAAAAAATATTCTTTTCAACCAAAATTCAAAAACAATGTCTTAAATAAATTATAATTTCGCAAATTTTTATTTATCATTACTTTTTTCAGTTTCTACTTATTTCAGTGATTATTGTGAATTTTGCCTTTTCATTAATGGAAGACTGTGAATACATTTGATCACGACTGTTGACAACCAACAGTGTTTTAGTGTCTTTCAGCTCATTGTTTTGGTTTTCTAGCTCACAACTCAACTGCTTTGACCAGCTGCTCCTATAGCATCATTTCAGCCCTCAGCTTCACCTCTTTCCATCAATACATCCATTAGCTGTACTTCCCAGCTGACACTGGGTGTTGGCGGGCTGCACCCAAGTCCATCGCAGGTCCACACGGAGACACTCGATCATGCACAATTCAGAACCACCAATTAAAGCCCCGCGCATGTCTTTGCACTGTGAGATGAAACCGGAGCACCAAAGCCGGCACAGAGGGACAAACCACACCACAGTGCTAACTCCAGTAACACCGAACCGCCCCATCTGTTCCCAGAGAGGTGCTAAACAGCTTCACACATATATATCTCCTTAAAAATATACTTTACATGATCATCCTGGGAGTGCAAACCTTTTAAACGCCACAGATAAACCGAGTAGAAAGATACAAGCTGACAGAAGGACAGACAAACACCTCCTCCTTCTCTTTACAAATTGGTAGCTAGATGATATCTTTGCTGAGCGTACGTCTTGGCGTCCACTGGGAATGCCTCTGTAGAGCGCTGCTTTTCTCTTTTCATTCAATAGAAAAGATGAGCCGCGGCGCCTCCCTGACAGCGCCGTGAGCTCGGCTTGTTTTTTAGCCTTCAGAGCCGAGAGCTAGAAGTTCAAAACCGCAACTAGGAGCCGTAAAAAAGTGCATCTCGCAAGCATCTGTTTAGTGAGGCTATCTGAAAAACAGATGCCTGTGTTGACACAGAGGCTAATGGACTAATATTTAGCCTTTTGAAGTGGATAATGGCGGCTGATTACAAGCCCACTCACTACTTGGGTCTGTGCATGCCGTCTGATGCCCAGCAGTTATATGGCATAGCAGCTACCTCACACTCTCCTCTTCTTCTTCACGCTTCCTCTGTGTTTGTCTCAGTCTGTCAGTTCTTCCGCCCTCCAACCCTTCAGCCTTTGTGTTTGCTCTCCCCGAGGCATCCCTCTTTCATTTTGCATCTCTTTGTCTCCATCTGTCTCCCTGCATCCTGTCTCGTTCAGCTCCCTCCCGCTTCTGTTTGTCTTTCGCTCAAACCCTCAATTTATTTATTCGCTTTTTCAAATGTGTTTCTCTTTCCCGTTGCAGTGGTCCTACGGATTCTACCTCACTCACAACCAGGGCCAGAGCGGCTTTGAGTTCTTCTTCAAGACCAAAGAGTTGAAAAAAAAGTGGCAGGACCAGTTTGGCATGGCCATGTAAGTGTGTGTGTGTGTGTGTGTGTGTGTGACGCTGTGATAAGAGTGTTTGCGTCTCTTTGTCACGGCTGCATTTTGTCACAGCATCAGAAGTTGCTCGTCCCGTTGTTCAAGAGAGGCCGCTTGATGATTTATAAGGCACACGACACAGTGACACAGAGATGAGCAGATAATAGGAAGCACTGACACTAAACTTTTCAAACAGACTGAATTTAATTAAAGCGTCATGCGTATGCTGTCAGACCGCGTCAACCGGTTCTTATCCTGAACTGGATCCAAATTCACCCAAAGTGACTGTCAAAGCAGCTCCAAGAGTGACAAATGGAAGAAAAACTCCACCAACCAAACCGTCTCTCACCACGTGGACTCGTGCTGCACAGGCCTAATTGTATATCTGTGCGATATTAAGCTCACTGTGCCGACTGAAAGAAAACCACAACAAAGGAGTTAAGTGAGTCCTGTTCCGTCTACAGTAGGGTGCCTGGAGTCAAGTAGGACTTAATTCCCTTATTTCAAACCATGAAATGAAGCTATGATTCAATTTAATTAGGACAACAATCACTTTGTTCATCAAGGCAAAGGAAAACATGAGAATCTGTCTTATTAAAGTGGTAAAGAAAAAACACTGACAGCAAAAAGGCAGTACTAGTAAGTTAACGTCTGACATCTATTGTGTTTGTTGTTTTGGTTTGAAGCTTCAGATCATTACACACACACATAATCACATATACATCCTCGACATGTTATAAATACATAAAGTGCTGTGAAAGAAGTGTTTGCCCCCCTACAGGTATCTTCCATTTTTGCATATTTGTCACACATAAAGCAAACTGTCTTTAATAAAAGACAAAGATAACCCAAGGAAACACACAGTCAATTGAAGGTAAAATGCTGTCCAGCCCACCTTACTCTATGTGGATAAGGTAATTGCCCCCTTAGCTACCCATCTACCACATTTCACCAGCCACACCCACATATGATTACTGCCAGGCTTGTTGAGTCTCAGCATCACTTGAATAGAACCCGTCTGGTGATGTGAAGTCAGCAAAAGGGTCTCAAAAAGCAGCACTGATGTGAAACAAAGTCATTGACATTTGTCAGCCTGCAAAGGGTTACAAAGCCATAGCTGAGGCTCTGGGACTCCAGGGAACCACAGCGAGAATCAATATCCACAGATGGAAGAAACGTGGAACAGCGGGGAAGCTTCCCAGGAGCGGCCGGCCGACCAACATTATCCATGAGCGCGTCAACAATCTCATCCAGGAGGTCACCAAAGAACCCAACATCAAACGAACCACAGGCCTCCCTGGCCTCAGTCAGGGTCAGTGTCCATGATTGAACAATGAGGAAGACGCTGGGCAGGAACGGCATCAATGGGAGAGCTGCAAGGAGCAAACCAGTCCTGACCAACAGAACAGAAAGACTCGTCTGGTATTTGCAATAAAACATTTAGATGAACCCCAAAACTTTTGGAGTCATCTCCTGTGGACTGATGAGTCAAAGGTGGAGCTTTTTGGAGGACGTGGGTCTTGTTACATCTGGAGTAAAACTAATACTGCACAAGGAGAACATGACACCAGCAGTGAAACCTGGTGGAGGTACGGTGGTGGTTTGTGGCTGCTCTGCTTCCACAGGACCTGGACGACTTGTTGATGGAGCCATGAATCCTGGTCTCTATCAAAAAGTCCTCCTGGAGAACATCCACCCATCAGGTCATGAAGCTCAAATGGGTTATGCATCATGACAAAGCACACAAACAGGTCCACCTCTGAATGGCTCAGAAAGAACAAAGTTAAGGGTCTGGAGTGATCGAGTCAAAGTCCAGACTTCAGTCCAACCGAGATGTTGTGGCAAGACCTTAAAAGGGTCGTTCATACTCGAAAACCATCTAATGTGGCCGAATAAAAACTATTCTGCAGAGAAGAGGGACCAACATTCCTCCATGGGGATGTAAAAGACAGCCAAAGGTGGCCCAACCAGTTAAGAAATATGCAAAAATACAAGACATCAGGAAGTAAATGAATTCACAGCACTGTATGATAATTATTACAGACAGTTATTGTGAGATTTATAGAATGATAAAGCCTTAAAAACACAAAATTACAGGACAGTGCTGCCAGATGACATTCATCAGCATCAATGAATGTGTTGTAGGTTCGTCAGGAGTATTTCAGATCTGAATAACCAGAGTGTGATTACATTTCTCAATAAAAATGTCACTGGACAAACAGTATTATACCTTTATATATGAGATGTGAATGATAATAAATAGATTTTCAATAAAACCGTATTGCAACCTCTGCAGCAGTCGGCCCATAATGTGATTTCTCTGCTGTTATCCGAGCACCACCGCTGTCATGATCGGTGTTGGTTTTGCTGTTTTAGTCCCTAAACCCTGACTTCATAATTTCTAAAAATACTGCAGACCAAACCAAAATCCTCCTGGTCCCCCTGGATCTCCTCTGGTTAGAGCTGAGCTAAGTGTTATTGGATTAGATTATCGTAGCTGCCAGTGGAAGCAGCAGCAGCAGCAGAGAGCAGGGAGGCTTTTCAGCAGGTGCAAAGAAGAAAATAGAAATTAAAACTGGGAATGAAAAAAAACAAAAAAAACAATCTGTGAAATAACATTTTCAGGCTACACGAAAAGCAACAGGCCTTAACAAGACGTGGAAGACGAGGATTAGGAAGATGAAGTGTTGTGTGATGTGAGGCTGAGAAAACAGGAGCTTTGGTTGATTAACTTTTGGGGCTGAATTAACGAGCTGAGAGAATAGAGAGGCGTTGCCAGACAATCACATGCTCCCACAGTGATGCTTAATAGCTGATCTGTGAACAGTTGTTCTCGTGTGCGCACTGCCTATATTTCCAAACCGCCCGCCGTTTGCTGCTTGACTAAAATTCAGGGGTAGGTATCGCAGCTCCTCACACCGAGAACAAGTCGCTTAAACAGCAGAGTGAGCGATTTACCCTTCGACGAAAATGACTTTAAATGACGGTTTATTGTATTTCTAACACTCTTGGTACGTCCAATTCAAGTGGCTATCTCTCAGTGCAATTCTAGGCTGAACAAAGTTGCATTGGAGGGCTTTAAAATAAGAAAACGGAAGCCATTTCTAGCTAATAACAGTATTCACTTACAGTCGTCCTCAGATTTAGGGTGAGGGATTTAGGGTTAAAGAAGGAAAAAAAACAGCTGAAATAAGCTGAAATTGACAAAAGTAATAATAAATAAAAATTTTATGAAAATCATGACACTGATTTTGAGTTATGGTTCAACAGAAATATTAATTTAAAAAAAACCCAAAAAACAAAAACTAAATAAACTAATAGCAAAGTGCTCTAATTTGTCTGGGACAGTTTTGCTTTTTTTGGTTTTTAAAAATTATTCTTTTCAACCACAATTCAAAACCAATATCTTATTTCACTAAATTGTAATTTAGCAAATTTTTATTTATTATTACTTTTTTCAGTTTCTACTTATTTGAGTGACTTTTGTGAATTTTGACTTTTCTTTAATGGACGACTGTAAAAGCTGACGCCTCGGCTGACCCCAGTACAGAGGAGAGGATGATAGTGAAGTTCTTCCTTCTTATTTGACATTTTTCTTCCATCTCAGCCTTGTTTGTTTTAGTTTCCATAAAAGTTCAGTTTGACTGATTATTGGAGCTCCATAAGAAGCACACATGAGGCTAAACTGCATAGAAAACAAAAGGAAGCGCATCTTGAATTTAAATATACGGTCAAACTCTGACAACTTCTTTCTTTCCTTCTTTGCTTCCTTCTATCTGTATTTTTTTTTGCCTTCCTCCACACATGCAGCCGTGTCCCAAGGGGCCCAGAGCACCTCTTGTGTTCACTTCAAGCGGACCTCGGCTGTCGGCTCCAAATCCCCTTCTCCCCACTTCAAAGAAGCGCATCAGTGAAATGTTACTGTGGAGTTTGTTGGCTGCAATTACGGGCAGGAAAAAGGAAAACTAAAATAAAATTCTTTTTGCTTTGAAATTGACGTTTTCATCAAAGAGCAACAAATAGGCCAACAAATTCATTTTCATTCAGGAATTCACTGAACTTGTAGTACAACCGACACCAGTGCTCATTGGTTATCGCAGTGTGTTGAACTCTAGTGGGTGTGTTAGGCTGAAGCTTTGAGCCTTCTAATTGACTCTGTTTAGCAAATTTCCAGTACAATCAAGTCATTGTATGCTTTGGAAGTTGCTCAGAGGTGATGTGTTGTTGTTGTAAGATGCTTCCAGGTTGGATCCCCTCGATTTAAAACAACATTTCAGAGCTAATTCAGTGCCTGAGCTGTCTTATTCATGTGAGAACGTTTGTCTCGTCTCCTTTAGATCCAACATCCGTCCCGAGAACGCGAACAACAACTTCCACGAGTTCCGCATGCACACCTTCGAAAGGATCACCTCCTGCAACTCCTGCCACATGCTGCTGAGGTAAGAAAGAGGCTGTAGTTGTTATTCATGCAAAACACACAAACACACACACACGGCAGAAGCAGCAGCAGCACAAAAACTCTTCAAGGCTATCGTAAAGACTGAGAGGACGAGATGTAGACCCCTCTGCCTTCAAACAACTGTCAGGGCTCCTTTGAAAGGCCTCCGCTCTTCGTATTCCTCTCCAGTGTACCCTAAAAATCTATTCGTCACTTTGCCTTTACTCCTCTCTTCCTCTGCACATGTGCCTTAGTTACACAAAGTTCCTTTTGAATTTGCTGAATGGTATCGGCACCCAAAGGACTGCGCCTCATGGTCTTTCTCACAGCGGGAACGACTGAGTGGTTTCACCTACCGGAGACGGTGAAGAAAAATGTCTGTCACACTTCAGCACTCGTTCAAGGCGATGGATGGGGAAGGGGGACAAGATTATTGCGCTGTGAATATACAGAGCCAGGCGGCGGATTCACCAACGTTTTCTGAGGATAAAATACGTGAAAAACAAGAATAAAGAAATGTCTGAAGAGCAACTTTTCTTTTTGAGGACATCACGCTGCTGCTTTTTTTCTTAAGTTTTTCTTTAAGTAGTCGTGGCTCCTTTGGACTGTTGTGTTCAGGCTATTCTCCCAGAGCTCTCCGTTTCAAAGCATTTGATTTGAATGACAATGAAACAGGAATCCAGCTTATCGACTAACAGTCACTAATGCAGTCGGATGAGTCAAGCTCATTCTGTAATTGCAAGATGTATATGACGTGATGTTGTAGAGCTTTAATGCATTTCTTGGAAGAAAGTTGTGATTTTCTATCTGCTCTGTGGACACGTGCAGGTAGAAATATGTGTGTTAGCTTCGACGTGGTCACAAAATGTGCACCGAAGTAGAATCTGTAGTGAACTTTCCTTTCATGTGAATTCATAAGAGAGATGTGGAACTTATTAGCATAGCGTGCTAATCTTTTAAATTAACGGTTTCTTATTCTTTTCTCCAAAATGACACATAAAACTTGAGAGATTAGCGTTCTTGATTAGCATCGCCACTGAATCACAAAAAAAAAACAACAGCAACAACAACAACAACAAAAAAATCCTTATACAAAGTCTGCTCCAAAAAGAGCTACAACATCATGACACCATCAATAAACAAGGTTTTTGCACATTAAACTTCCACCATTGCAGACAGCAATAATATTTGGAAAGTTGCAAATTATTGGTTTTCTGTTGCTCAGAATTTGGTCTCACATAACCAATGAAATTTCCCCTCCACCTGTTGTTAACTGCTCCAAAGGCATCAGGAGACACCTATCATTCTTAGAGGCTCTTGTGAGACCATCTCGCTGCTGGACGGTCACAGCCTATGACTTACGGCCATTTTTGTTGTCCTTCGTGTCCTTAAAGGTGTTGACAATGTGTCTCTAAACGATTTGCAACAAAGCAGCTTCCTAATTTCACAATGTGCAACATGGCATTTACGTAGTCACAGCCTGCGTACGACTCTCCTCCAGGACTTGAAACATCGTACTTGAACACCTGAGAACTAGGTTTCTTTCACAGGTTTAAGACAAGTGTGATAACCACACTCAGAACAACACATGTTCAACTTTTTCTGATTCTGAATTTAGACAGTCTATGAACTCGAGAAAGGAGAGTATTCGCTCAGCACTGTGTCGTGCAGCCATCATGCCTCGCACCTCACCGGAAGGCCAGCCTTTACCTTCTTGATTAGCATAGCTGCTTCATTGGGCGAATCGTTAGCTTGCTGTCGCTTGTTGTCCAGTTTCTTGTTCCAAGTTGTGTCTTTTTTGGAAGCCATGTCTTCAGTTAAGCTTTAGCTAATTGTTAAAGTTGAATTTAGACAGTCTATGATCAGGGTAACTTTGAGAAAGGAGGGTATTTGGTCAGCACTCATGCCTCGCACCTCACCGGAAGTCAAGACTTTACTTTCTTGTCATTTGAATAAGGGCCTCTGAGATGAATATGCAAACAAAAACAGAACAACAAACTCGTACATGCAGATCTCTTTCTCCAAGATATTTTTCAGTATTTTCAATCTTGATACACACCAATCAACCTCAACACTAAAACCACCTGCCTAGCATTGTGTAGACCAACATTGTGCCGCCTTTCACCGTTGGTCCGTGGACACAGGACCTCAGCAGGTGTCTTCTAGTGTCTGGCACCTGAGCGTTGGCAGTGGATGGGTCTTGTGGGTTGTGGGATGGGTCCCCAGTGGCTCGAGCTCCAATAGATGTTAGACCCCATTGGGATCTGCGGGGTTTGGACGCCGTTCAGTGCTTTCGGCTCTTTGTCATGTACCTCAAACTGTTCCTGAGCAGTTTGAGGCAGGCGCTGTGGGAGACGCTGGGAGTGTCGTTACCATGACGGGGTGCACTCGGTCTGTTATGGTTGCCAAAGTAACATCCACGTGAATGCCAGAACCCAGTGTGGTCCAGCAGAACATCAGATTGTACCATCGATTTTTTGCATTTCACCTCTCAGTGGTTTTATTGTCGTGGCTGGATGTCGTAAGCTGACGTAACTACATCGTTTGAAGCGAAGCAACCTCTGCATACTACTGCTGTGGTGGAAAGTGCTGCTCATCTGGCTGCTGTGGATTTGAACTCAGCCTGAGACGTGGATGACTTCAGAGTGCACCTAAAACAATCAAACAACAACAAGGAACAAGGAACAAGAATAGGTGTGCTAAATTTAATGGCAATCCACCTCCATGGCTGTTGAGACGTTTCCCCCAGAATGCCGACGTCATAGTGGTGCAACAGGAAGTACGAGGATCAACACGGTTATTAGTGCGAGCTGTCAGATATCATGACAGTCATGCTTGCATGGCAATCTGAAGCACTGCGCCTTCCAACAACATGAATTAACTGCACAGGCTGGTTTACAGACTTGATGTCCTGTTGAACCTGACAGGTTCTGCACAGCACTAAACCTTTTAACTGCCTCTCAACACGCAGCTTAAATCTATTCCATAACTATTGCATAAGTTTTGCTATGTTGTGTGCGTTCTATGTCACCAATGCTCTCGTTCTTGTGTCTGCAGGGGCGTCTTTAACCAGGGCTACTTTTGCTCCAAGTGTGGTTTAGGAGCTCATAAAGAGTGCCTGGGTCGCTTCGGCTCCTGCGGAAAAACAGGTAAGTTTATTGCTCAACCTCGTATCAGTCACGTCTACGACAGGTCTGCACTGAACAACGTGTCACTGAACAAAATGTTTTGAAAGAGACCTTCAGTCTAATGGTACAAACACAACTGCAGTTTTATAGCAGCGTGAACGTGATGACAGATGACACACAATGGTACATAAAACCTGATGTATGAGTGTCTTGTGACGAATTATAGGTACGGCCGAGATTTGTTGCAGCGTGATTTTAAAAAAAAACAAAACTACACATTTAGAAAAAAGGATTTGAAAAAAAATGAAGTGGCATTGTGGGAATTAAAGGTTTGCTCCAAATAAATAAGTACTTTATGGGCTTTGTGTCCTTCTTTTTCCAAACCAAGGTCAGCCAAGCATTCGATCAGTATTGCAGATATGAAAGCTCCCCGGCTTCCCTGGGTGGTTTTGACACTTCAGAGCACCTTAAAGGCAATGTCACTGTGTATCGTTGCGCATATCCCCAAAGCCTAATAGTAGTTTTACTGAGGAGTTTGAAGAAACTCCTGACTTTTTTATTATGCCCCTGTTGTGTCTCTGTCACTCAGCTCCCTGTGCAGGAGCTCTGACAGCTCTGAGAGAGATGGAGGGAACACTTCAGACATGGGGAGCGGCAGAAAAAACCACATTCACACTTTTTGTTTGTGAAAGTTTTTTTAGGTCTTGAAAGTGCATGATCGTGCTCTCACAACACTAAAACTCTGCACAATATTTTTACACCCGAGCAAGTGAGCGGGTTCAACTGTTACAGCCTGAACACACTGTACCGGCTCGGCGCCACTGCATGAGTGTGTGTTTGTATTCCCCGTGGCAAGCTGCCAGCTCCTGTTGGACCTGGCATCTGTCATGGTGCTATCAGGTCGCAGAGGCAATAACGCCACTGCCAGGCCCACCTGGGCACAGTGCGTACCTGAGTAGATTGGGGCGACACCGGTGGCAGGAGAGCACGGAGCTGTGAAGGCTGGGATGTAGGTTTGAATTTGCCCTCTCATTACTCCACACACAGTATTCACCCTCTGCTGGTGCACGGAAATGTGCAGGGGTGTGGATCAGCGTTTAGCAATATAGTTAAGTGAAAGAATTTTAGAGATCTGGAACTTTCCTTGCAAAGAAAAACTAAAGCTACCGATGCATGAAAGCTGCACACTTACAGTGATTGCAGACATTTGAATTTCTGACTCCCGTCCTCGTCGCCTGACTCTTTACTGACGCTCATGTGGCCCCGGCGTTGAACTTTATTCACGCTGCAGCTCATAAAGCCACCACAATAAACAGAGTTTGTCAATACACCAGCAGGACTCCACTGCATGCACAATCACAGTAAAGGGTTGTGTACAAGTGTGTGTGTGTGTGTGTGTGTGTGTGTATCGGAGACACAGATAAGCCATTGTTTACCTGCATTTGTCTCTGTTATCAGCTGCCTTGCCGTGTGTTTGCGTAACAGGTTAAAGTTCACTTTAGGAACAACAGGCCTGCTGAGAGAGGTGTGTGTGTGTGTGTGTGTGTGTGTGTGTAGGTACAGTGCATATATTTGTGGCTCTCTGCCAGCTGGCGTGTGTGTGTGTGTGTAGGTATGTGTGTGTGTTTATGTAAGTGCTCTGTTTGCACAGGTACAGCAGTGTGTTTGCGTGTGCATAGGCGTGTGTGTCTATGGGGGTGTAACCCATCCCTCAGGGAGCCAATGAAAGAAACTGGTGGAGCAAAAACCACAGGTCTACCTCCCCCCCTCCTCCTCTCCACCACCACCACCACCACCACCTCTACCACCCCCCCGCCTCGTTACCTCCTCTATCCCGGCTGTCAAGTAGTGGCAGCACAGCAAAACAAAGCGAACCACGGTCAGACACGAGCGTCCGCCTTCTCCACTAATGAGGGAGTGTTGCCTTGTACCGATGAGTGTGTGCAAGTGTTTGCGTGCACCCGCTAACCCGCCATTCACTATGCCTGTTCTCAAACTTCTTTCAGATTCCGGCTCCGACAGAACTCAGGTGAGCTGCTGCTGTGTGTGTGTGTGTGTGTGTGTGTGTGTCCGTGTTGATGTGTGTGCTGTCTCTCTGTGTGTCTGCCGTTCGCCTTGAAGGCTGCTCTCTCCTGCAGCTATTTGCCAAGGAGACCCCAATTGACTTTAGTTTGCTGCAGCCCTACCTGACGCCAGAAACTAGGATTTTTCTTTTTTTTTCGGGGAGGGGGGGAGAGATTTATCCTAAGTTGTTTCTGCTGCTTGTGGAACTGCTGTTTGCTTTACTGCTACGATGCTCACAAGTAACCCCAAGCAGGACACGAGACTGGGCTATGCACAGAACGCCAGTAACCGTGGCTACAAATGCACGATGGGATGGAATTAAGAGGGACTTGTATTGCTCTTAATGCTCCCTAAGTGTAATTCTGGTGTCAGGTGCTGTATGAGAAGAGAAAAACTGCTGTGATACAATGCACACATAACATTTGACGTGTTGTTTTGGACAAAACTCAGCTGTAGTCATATCTAGAGTTGACACACATGCAATTCTTGACCCTCGCCAACTTTTTTTTTTAAAGCTGTCAGAAACACTACATCCTTTAATTAATTTAACTTTTTTATGCATTATTTAAAAAGAAAACATTAAAAAAATATCAGTATTTTCCCATAAAGAATAATCTGTTCCACCGCTCTCTGCAACTTTGAGATATTCCTGCTGCAGCGGGACAGAGTTTGCTCATCATGTCGGCGTATGTGACGTGAATACATGCGAAGCTTTTGCTGCATGTGGCCTGCATGTGGACAGCAGGTCAGGGTGAAATATTAATTATGTGTGTGCAGCAGCAAGCGTGCAGCCAATAACTGATTTAGTAGGTTACAAGCTTTTAGAAATGGATGGAGGCTGCTCTGACTTCGCCTCTCAGCGTACAGCTTGTGCTTCTGATGGGCAAACTGGTGAATAAGCTTTGATCAGAGCTAGATTTTTGTCCCGGTGTGTGCCGTACGTGCGTCTTTGTTTGTGCACGCAGGCGTCTTTCTCTGAGTGTAACCGTCTTTGTGTGTTCTTGCAGGGCAAAGATCGAGATCCAGGTGAGAAATTCAGAACACGGCACATCTCCAGACATCCTCCCACCTCGCACACATCTTCCTCCTTCCTCTTTATAGTCTGGTTGCTCTCACTGGTGATGTTTATGTGCACAGAGACTGCAGCTCCTAAGACAAATTATCTGATTTTGGCATGCAACCCAGACTGCTATCGAGATGCACAAATACGATCTGGGCGTATGCTTTATAGCCGTGCTTGCTTCAGAAACAGCGTCCAGTGTGACTTTTTGTTTTGTTCTGTGTACCACTGTGAAACTACAAAATAAAGGCATGAAATCTCTTTTAAAAAATGCCTAAATATTATTACACTTCAACTAATAATTACTTTCATTGGTATAAATAGCAAAAACAAGCTTATTTTGTCTCAACAACATTCCAAAACACAAAAATATTCAACTCATAGTGATAAAAAAAACATAGAACAGTAATAAATCTGTTCAATTAAGAGACATTTCATTTGAGCTCGACACCTTTTAACAAGTTGCCTGACACGTTACGATCAAAACCATCTCACGTCTGTGATTTACTTTTACACACGTTATATAATAACGTTCTATCAACTCTGGAAAAACCTATGCATTACTGTACAATATCAAGCTGTTCGTCAGGGCCGGCAGTAGTTCTGCAAGAATCGCCGCCGACAAGGCCTCATATTGGGTTTTTTTATTTTTATTTTTTTTCAAGGTAATAGAAGTAACCTTGCTCAGTCACAGAAGAAGGTGTAGCTGGTAGCTATTAACCGGCTCTGCTGTTGCAGCTGAGTCTTAATCTGTGACTAGAAAAGGCTCATTTAATTCAATAAAACCAAAGCTGGGGTGAATGAAACAGCCCGCTAAGTCACTCTGGTCATGTCCAGTAAATGTAACGACTCCATTTAACACGGCTAACATACAGCGTCCTCTGGAAATCTGCCTACATGTGTGTGTGTGCGGCTGCTCTGCACACAGGGCCTTTAATCTCTTATAAACCTGGCTTCAACACTCATTTTTCCACCCCTCCATCCATTATGCTGCAGAAAATCATTTCTGACTGAAGACGCATTAAAATCAATAGGCATTTGATTGCCCCAGCTCATGGCGTTTCATAATATTTCAACGCTGCTCTCTTTGTCTATTTTCAAAGGTGCACTAACACGTGGCTTGTCCTTGTGTGGATAGGAATGCAATTCATGCCCCCGAGACTCAATTCTCCATGGCCCTGTGTCTTTAGAAGTCCTATTCAGGCAAGATCGCACATGTCAGGCTGCCAGCCACAGCGCTACAGCACTGGAACAGATCCTGAAAGAGAAGCAAGTCAGATATAGATGTATTGGCTTTCAATACAATGTTGACTCCTCTGTTATTTGCCTTTCGCTTTTACCTCCTTTTTCATGCTGTCACTTGAATTTTTTTCTCATATTGTGTTACTGAACAACACTATCTCCACACAGTGCAAAGAAAGATATGCACTGTTCTTTTTTCTTTTTCTTCTTCTTCTTCTCGTGCATATGAGATGTGAACTTGGGGTTTGTTTGTTTGCCATGGCTGGCTGAGTCATAACGACACGGTATAATTCAGTGTCAGTGATTTCTCGGTGAATAATGGGATCAAAGTTAGCCGTCGTTTCGAGTCAAATACTGCTGACTGAGGTCGTTCCAGCAAGTAAACTCAGCTTGATTAAAATGTGCTTTTTTTTTTAGTGCATGTGTAAACTCTAATTACCGCGTTACCTGTGGGGAAGCGTACCTCAATTAGTCCCTGGATTGGTGGTTGTAGCAGGTGGACAGGAGCTATGCACGCTATGTGCTTTAGTGTCGCCCAGAAAAAGGAGGGAAATGCTGAGAGGCAGGTGATACGATGAAGACAGCAAGCAGAGTGCTAAAAACAGCACAATGGGTTCTTTGTAGTTCTTTGCTGCAAATGTAATCAGGACTGCTGCTCGTTTAATCTCTGTAACGCAACAAAATGTTTATGACTTTGATTGAATTATACTTAAAGTGTCCCAGCAGGAGGCCAGAACACATTGTTAAGCAGTAAACAGCGCTCGCTCCGGCTTATCTTTTATCTGAGAGCCTGATAGCCAGCCGTGCACCAGGGTGCACTGTTGCTTATCTGTAATATGATAATGAATAATGGGTCTGGATGATTTGCAAGGGCAGTACACTGCTGACAAGGGGGTGTGCTGGAGTGTGAGCGTGCAGACGTATAGTCCCTCTCATTACCACCTGTAATGGGGCCATGCATAGCTGAGCAGCGCAAAGACGCATCTTTAGAATGACAAACATGCCCTTTTAGACCCGAGGTCGGACACACACGCGTGTACGCAAACGGTCACGCATGTGGACGGGAATTCATGATGGAGGGACGGAGCTATCTGAAGGAGACGGGCGGAAATTTCTCCCTCCTCTTCGGTTTGGTCGAACACTTTTAATTACTGTCTTTATTTAATATTAATAGTCATTAAAAATCAAATCCGTCCTTCATGACACATCACTAAGTCGTGCTGCATCCCACAGAATCAAGTTGTGATGATTATATAGACAGAGGAAACAATGCAGCGTCATGTGCAGCACAGTCAGTACTGAGGTCTTTTCAAATTCATCACAACACTGACTCCACTTCTTGACTCCTGCGAGGCTCAGACACACTTACACCAGCCTCAGCTTCCTTGATTTGTGTTAATATAAAGCCCTTTTGCAGACAGCATGCAGCCTCTAATGCTTTCCATCTTGCAGGTCTGCCCAAGATGCTGGTAATCAGGAACTACTTCGGCGTGCCGAGTCCCACTTCTGGCCCGGCGCTCAGCATCCAGACGGGTGACATCATTGAATTAATCTGCGCCGACCTTCACAGCCCCTGGTGGCAGGTCAGGGGTCGCACTATCTCTTAATCGCTTATTTTACAAGGCTAAAAAAAATGGACCTGGTGTATTTAAATCTCTAATTTCCCCCCACTGTCAGTCCATCTAACCTTTATCCCCGTCTCATGTTTTATAATAGGGTTTAGAATCGGTCAGCTGGTGCAGTCGGTTTTTGCAGCATTGTCCTGCGTATCCTCATTAGTTAAAGATATGTTTGTGTAGATTTTATAAAATAAATTGGACATTTTTCATACCTATGCCTGTATCTTTTTTCGAATAGCTTTTCTTCTTAAAGAAAGCTTCGTATAGTTGAGCAGTTTTTGCTAACAAGCTGCATGTAAAGACCAAATTCTCAGCAACAAGTATACACCCACAGACAATTAGACACACAATATAGCACTTTTTTTTTTTTATAAGGAAGTAAAACTCCCACTCACTGGGAATGTTTGTTTTATGCAGGCAATTACTGGTATGTGATGCAATGCATGATTTAAATTTTACCGGAGGAAAAAGAAGATAATCTGTTTCCTGGAAATTTGATTCATTGTTGTGTTGTGTCGCTCACTGCGCGCCTGAAAGTCATCGCGATAATTATATAAGATCTAAGATTTCGCCTCAGGCCTGGAAAAGCCATCTCATTGACATGAACTACGTTTGTATTATAATCAGACATGTAATGAGAAACCCAACAAATCTCACTCCACTTCATACAAAACAGATAAAATAGATAAAGAATTCAATTAACCGTGTGTAAAAGCTTTACTGGAGGCAGCCGCAGCCCCACAGTCAGCAAACATTCAATATCCATCACCTTTGTAGCCAACAGACCATAATCATTTCTGTTCTGGGGGTGTGTGACAAATAGAATCGATCACTGTAATTTCATTTCATTCAGCAGCAACCATCTGTTTACTCTGTCAATGTTCCCGGCTATAATCATTATCAAACTCTAAGCAAGGATGCGGCAGAAAGCGGGGCCTCGCACAAGGACTTAGGAGACGTCCTGAGGTGGCCGGGATGTGACAGGCGACGACCACAACGCTGACAAAATGGGCTTAGCCGGCAGTGTGCCTCTGAGAGCTCGGCTGTGGCTGAAATGTCCCATAAAAGACGTTTGTTCCCAGAGTGCACAACACGGGCCGCCTCGGAGCCCCCCGAAGAACACCTAGAAACCCCGAAGCATCGTCGCTGTCAAGTAGTCCAAAAAATGATGTCTTTCTCTAAACACTTTTCCTCGACCTCGACGGAGAACGTGACGAGGTCAGAGGAGGATGTGAAGTGCAGAGCGGGGACAGTCTGACTGACGCTCGGCTACGTAATCGTGTCAGGGTGGAAGTCATCTGCTGCTGTGGACGGTCAACGCTTTGGATGTCGTCAGGAAGCACGGGCAGCATTATTGCTTTGTAAAGGATGAACTTTTGAAGGAAGAAAGAGAAGCACCTTTAGCATTTAGAGAAGTTAACCGGCTCTCATCATGGCTGCTGTTTAGCTGCTTCTGGGTTGTTTGAACCAACAGAAACAATTCAACTGAAACCAACTCCTACCTATCCCCTAAAATCTCATTTATGTCCAGAAAAAATTCTTAAACCGTCCTGAAACCTTGACGTAGGTCAAATAGGTTCGCAAACTTGAATTCCATCTCAGTTTCTTAGGCGTGCCTCCACACGTTGTACCTAGCATGCATAGTTAGCCTCATGAGCCCTGCATTAACGGGTCAGGTCAGGTAAAGTCTGGGATTGATTCAGCGATAACCTGATTGCAGCTTACTGGTATTTTTCCAGTGCTGAGCGTGCAGTCTGCAGGGAGGGAGGGAGGGGCGGATCTGCAAAACTAGACTCAAGACAGTAAAGGGAAAATAAAACAATAACAATTCGTACTTTTTGCTGCAGTTGGAATAAGTGCGTTAACTGGGTCATTGTGTGTACATGTACATGCATGGATGTAGATGTTGTCTTTGAGCTGCTATCCTGTACAATTCCTCATAATCGAGTGTATCAGGTTTGGTAGCTTTACATTACATCGTGTCTGTGCTTCGCCCTTTTCGCCTCGTAACAATTTCACCTTTAAAAACTTCAGAATATGCCTCCAGTAAAAATCTCGTTGCGATTGTTGCGATGACTTTTATTCAGCCTCTGTGTCACGAGCACATGTGAGTAATGCCCAACATTGCAGGCCTGGTTTTTTTTTTTTTTTTTGCACACTCGCCTTTTTAAGCACTGCCTCCAGAATATATGCCACTCTGCATTTCACTGCACACACTGACTGAGCATGTGACAAGCAAACCCTCTGAATCCTGCATGCCACTGTTAACCATATGTAGGACATATAACTGCACGACAGCATAGGAACTTTGGCGCCATATCTCTTTTTTCCAGGACCGAGTATTTGTACCGAATGAATTAAACATTTTGTCAGTGCACAGAGCAGAAAAACGCATCATCAAGCCATTGTCCGATGGAGAAAACTGCACTACAGCCTCCAGGAAGCTCCTATTTATATGGACTGCATCTCCCCCAGTGTTGATAAATCAAGGCGCTGAGCTTTAAGAGTCATCACCGAGGGAGGAATAAGGAACTCATCCTCTTCCTCTCTTCCTGCCAGGAATTATTTCAACAATAGTTAACTGCTGCTGTAAATTTGCGCCGCTGTGTTGCAGGCTAATTGTTCCTGAATTATGGAGACACATAGTCGGCCACATGCACGTAACGCAATTATCTCTCTCTGCGCTTTCAGGGCAAAATCCTGTCGACGAAGGAGGTTGGCTTCTTTCCAAGCGACGCCGTGAAGCCTTGCCCATGTGTAAGCGTTTCCCTTCCAGTCCTTCAGCGCATTGGGGCTACTAGCGGCTCACATTTGGCTACAAGAATTCACCAGTGACAGGATTTCTGAAGGAACTATTTTATCTGGTGGAGGAAGAAAAAAACAGCTCAGGGGTTTTTATGTTCCGAGGATCTTGGCCGGCTTCATGAGATGCAGGAGTTTTAATTTGTTTAACAATAAGAAGCAAAGAACAAAACGATTTTCTAAAGCAATGCTTCATATGGTGCAAAACAAACTGGGAGCGAGGAGCGAGCTGCTTGTTTTGCTGCTGGATTGTCATGTTCCATTTGACAGAATATAATTCAGCTGCTTCAGGAATACGAGGCCTCAGCTAGATAACAAACTATTATCGCCGGGCCTCGCTGTTGTAAAGATAAGAAGAGCATTTAGCTGTTTTATTGAGGTCATACAGTCTAAAAGCACCTGTTTTATACGAGAGTTACAGTCAGCGTAGAAACAGTGGACGTGGCGCCAAGTACAGGGTTTTATTGTTGGGGTTTATGTCGAGAGTTTCCCTGAAAATAACAACCACCCATGTCCACGTCTGGTCTTTGCTCCAGGTCCCGAAGCCTGTCGATTACTCCACTCAACCATGGTACGTCCACAAAACAGCTCTCTGACTTTGAATATATTTATATATGTATAAGAAAAAAAGCAAGTTGAATACAAATGTAAATGCATCCACTCAAGATCAGACCACACACACCTGCCCCGAGGCTGATAAGAGATTTATTTGGCCTGAGTTATCATAAAATGTACATTTATTAGATTTTTAAACACAGTACCTACAGATCGAGGTCTAACCTGGAAGTGCAGGAATATTTTGCCACCTTATGGTCCTCAAACGTATTCATACCGTTAAAGAAGGAAAAAAATCCCAAGTTGAAATTGACAAAAATATTAATAAATAAAAATGGAATGAAAATCATGACGTCGCTTTTGAATTGTGGTTCAACAGAAATATAAAAGAAAAATCACACAAACAAGCATGATGGACCTGTAAACTAATATTTAGTTGAACAACCTTTGAGGCGATCACTACAATTTCCTCATCAGCAAAGTGCTCTAATTTTGTTTGTTTTTATTTTTTAAAATTTTTCTTTTCAACCACAATTCAAAGGCAACATCTTATTTCACTTAATTATAATTTAGCAAATTTTTATTTATTATTACTTTTCTCAGTTTCTAGTTTTTTGAGTGACTATTATGAACTTTGCCTTTTCTTTAATGGATAAATTTGAGCATATTGTACATAATGAGACGGTCGTGTTTGGCTTTTTTTTTCTCACTTTCCTCTTTAACTGTGACTTCTTGCTGCTGCAGGTTTGCAGGCCCCATGGAGAGGCTGCAGGCCGAGGCGGAGCTCATCAACAGGGTCAACAGCACCTACCTGGTCCGCCATCGCAGCAGAGAGTACACGGAGTACGCCATCAGCATAAAGTGAGTCCGCTGCCCGGATCGCACCTCACAGCGGCGGCCGGCGCCGCCTCCTTTGATTCATTTCTCGGGTTTTAACCGATTTGAATTAAATACCGTCATTTATTAAAGTGGCTCTTACATAATGATACACAATTTGTGCTCGCAGTGGGAGTCCCTTTTTAATGCGGCCCCTTAGCGAGCATATGCTGCAGATGAATAATTTCTGTAAGTCAGAAGTAGGAAACAAGAGCAGGGAAACAACTGCAGGAACATATGTTTGTCATATTTCTGAATGTCTAAGAGGTTGATTTAAACTAAGCGTTTCAAACACTTGGTATTTATAGTGTGGAATTATGGGCTCTGTGGGGTTGTCTTCTGGTCCAGCTGTTGACAGACATCACATTTTATTGTTAAATTAGAGTTCGTCTGCCTCGCTGTGGCTACGCTGGAGTTATACGAAGCCTTCAGCCAAACCACAGTATTGACCAGACGTAACCCCCGGCTTTACTACGTAACTTTAAAGACCGATTTGTCGTTTAAGGGTGATGTGCTCGCTCTCCGAGGCTCAGGCTGTGGTTAACCACAGTGACGTGTGGGAATCGGACCAAACCAGATGCAGGATCTCAGTTAAGGCAACGGCGTTCATTACGGTTTGACCCAAAACCCACAAAAACAGTCTTAATGGTTCATAATTAGAATCATGCAGCCGTTTTAATCTTGGTAATGAGGTATTAACAAAGCGCGTCCACAGAAGCTTGGGGTGCTGCTGACCCTACCGATCTACGTAACTTATCTCAGAGCTGTGAAGAGCGAGCCGTCGTCTCTCGACTCTCTGAGCTGGAACGCTTCCCTTAACGAGGAGTAAGCAGCCTTCTCTGTAAGCAACGAAAGCGTTCCCTTTAAAGTTAATTTAACTTTCTTTCTTGCAGAAAGGACCGCTCGCAGTGCCTTCATGTTCCCTCTGCGCTCCGGTCTTAATTGCATGTGTGCACACAGACTTTGAGGCCTGAATGGAGCAGAAAACGAGTGTAAAACTGTTCAAGGTTATTAAAAGCTCCCCATGAAAGAGAGGCAGGCTAGAGAGAGACATACGTAGCTGTGGGAATGACATCTGAAAAGTATTACTCACAAATGGAAATGCCCTCTACTCCACTCCCTGTTCGTCACCGCGGCGCTGGCAGAGGATTTTTGATGATTTTGTCCAAATAGCCAAGAGGCCCCAGTTCTGTATGAATTAAGCTCTGGCCTTTTAACTCACTGTATTCCCCAAAAGCAAAGGCAGCCACACACACAGCTCTGGCCACAGTGTCGACAGCACATTTAGCTTTTTAAATATCAAAAAAGATTTTCTGACTTTTAAAACCCGAAAAAAAT